TATATATATATTTTTTAAATGGTTAAGGTGTCTCTAAATTAGTTTTTGTATACTTCAAAACTAATTCTTCATTGGGCAAGTTTAAGGAAGTACTTCTCACATGGTGTGGTGCATTAAAAAATATTAATTTATTTGAGTGCTGGCAAATATTGATTCCAAGAGTTGAATATTGAATTTAACCTATAATGCAATAGTTTACTCCCAATAGTAACATAGCTAACAAGTCACAAATATATATCGATGTAGAGATACCAAAAGAACAATGCAAGAATATGACTGATAAAAAAAATAAAATAAAGGAGAGGACATGAAATCGACTCTACTTCTTTTATTGAAATTACTCAAATCCAATATCTACAACTCAATACACAAAATCATCCTAATCCTAAAATTTAAAGGAAAAAAAAAAAAATCAAATGAGACAATAACAACAAAAATTTTTGAAACAAAACCAAAAGTACTAGAACAAACCTTTACTTCTTTCCAGTACCCACCATGCACTAGTAGTCAAACGCAATAGCTAATATATTTATGTTGTGGCCTTGTTGGTTTGTCTCCTTTAATCTAGTACAATTGTGTTTTTGATGCATGGTGGGTATAATTGTCTCCTTTAATCCGTTAATGGTATTGTAAAATCTAAAGCCTAAAATCTAAAATTAACAATTCATGAGTCTAAAATCTAAAATCCTTTTAGTAATAGTACAACAAACTTTTAAAGTCAATTAATAATTTTACAAATTAAATCAACAATCCACAACCAATTTAGCAATTAAAATGATAATTCTTTCCCACCGAAAATAAGATATAATAGATTTTCAAAATATATAATTTTTAAAAGAGTAGGGATCCACTTATATATAGGACTTATATATCAAACCTATACAAAATTTTAACCATTTATCTCTCTCTTTTAAGGGTTAAAATTTATTCACCTTTTTATCATATTTATTAAAGATAAACTATCTTTTTCATCTAAAAAGTTATAATAAATCTCAATTATTAAAAGTAAAGAAATAAATGATTGATATTTTATATAAGTATAATATATAACACTTATATTTAAATAGATTCTTACTTTTTTTAGAATAATATAATAAAATTTTTAATTTTCCAAGGATATTAGAGCATCACTTGAAGTCCGCAATCTCTAAAGAAATTTTAAGAACTCAACTAAAGACTCTTGCCCAAAAAAGAATGGAAGAGATATTCTATTATTGTTTGCTAGGTTTAGAATTTAAAAATCTAATGCGAATTGATTTGAAAAATAATTCAGATGGAAGAAGGAAAGTAAGTAACTAAATAGGGTTAATTACCTAAAAGTATAGTGACAGGCCATGTAGCTATTATTTTCCTTAATTTAAAGTCTAAAATGTTTGACTAAATATATTTTGGGTTTTTCTTTTTTAATTTGTATCCTAAAAATGTAGTTATTGCACTATTTTTACATTAATTAGTATTAAAAATACAAAATCTGTTATTAATTTCATCATTAGTACTATGTGAATCATTTTAATTGAATAATTACTTATAAAGATCAAGTTTTTTTATATTAATTAATATAAAAAATGTACAATAATTATACTCTTAATCTATACTTAGGTTAGAAAAACTCACACATTTGTTTAATTTTTTAAGAGGAGCAAATATATACTGAACTTTTTTTAACTTAGAAATTTTAACATAAAAACTTGTTAGATTTGGGTCACTGCTTCTGACCGCTGGGGTTAATGTAATAAGTAAATTGAAATTAGGGAGTAATCTTTTTTCTTCTTTTTTGACCTTTTTCTCTAGAAATTAAGAATTCATGAAGTAATTTATGCTTTTACCTATGTTATTCTTAAAAAAAGTGACAAATAATCAAAATTAGGTAATAATAATACGGATAAAGCTATATATATGTATATGGAATTTTGAATTGTACATTAAAAATATAATTTATCTTATAAATTTATTAAAATCTTACTGTGTTCATAATTACCAATTTACATAATTTAAATAAAAACTCGGTTAATATCTAGCTTTTCATTTCCAAAAATTTTACTAGTCCAAATGTACAAAAATTTATAAAACAATCATGGCTATAACCAAGGGAAACTCAGCATACAAAAAAAAAGGATTAATCATTTTACATCTATGTCAAGCATGTGTGGCTAACGGCTTAAGTCCAAAAAGGATCTAAGTTCAAAATACTGACTAGCCTTCTAGCTCGTCACTCCCCTTGGTTAACCAGGTCTTGGGTTTCACTTCCTGAAATGGTGGACAAGGAAAACTATGAGATAAGATATCTCAATAAGTAAAAATATGGGCATCCTATGAGTAAAATTTAAGCATGCTTGATAAACAATTTAACATAACAAAACGTTCAATGATAAACCGTTTATGCAGAATAAGATTCAGTACTAGTCTCATCTATAAGTCAATAACAAAGCGTTCAATAATAAACCGTTAATGCAGAATAAAATTTAGTAGTAGTCCCATCTATAAGTCATGGCCAATGTTTAACAACTCCCACTGGCAGCCGTCAGTTTTAGTAATAACCAATGTATTATCCCATTGGCAGGATTACAAAATGAACCGGTTCTATCCGTAAACATGTCGACATGTGCTAGCATTTGCAAACTCCCACTAGCAGGCGTCAGTAATCAATAATCATGACTATATTAGAGACAGAACCATGCAGGATTTACAGGAAAAATCTGTAATTCACAATCAATCTCAAATTTCAAGAATAAACTGAAAGAATTTCCACCTGGGCATGGATTTAACAAGAAAATCATAATTTACAAAAATTCTCAGATCATCAGGGCAGTTAAGTAAACTCCAAGTAGGCATGCTCAACTCAATGAAAATTATAATAATTCCATTTCAAATCAATCATGCTTGGTGCTAATAAAATCAATTTAAACCTTGTCACCATCTCAAAAACTATTTAAAATATGCTTTTACTTTGAAATCGAAAGGCATTACCATAATTTATTTACCTCAATCGCATAACATAGAAAATTCACTCCAAGTGCTAGGGTGACAGAACAATCAAGAACCTAATGAAAATATTTTAGAATTAATAACCATATGACCGGACATCTCAATTTTATTCTCAATATAAACTAAACATTTAAACCTTCCTATTGTTGCTGGCCATTAATCCCATAAGAAATCTCATTTCTTTATTTATTTACCCTTATTTTTCTTCTATCTGAAATTGTGCACAAAAATCAGATTGTGCATTTAAATATGCATAAACACACATATACACAATTCTCCAATTTCACAGACAACATGGAGGAATCGGCCTTGGCAAAACAATAGTTAATTTCACGAGATTTTTCTCCAGAACCTCACAGCAGCTAATCAATACCCAATCACATAAATTCTACATGAATTAAGCTTAATTTTGATCTAATTGCTACCGGAATTCATTCCCTATTTTAGCAAAATTTGGACAGCATAGAGGCAGCAAATAAATGGATAATTTCAGCAACTTAATGGGTAAATTTGGACTTAGATGGAGCTGTCACATACCAGAAAATTCAGCAAGCAAATTGGAGCTGACGGGTTTAGGGGAGGCCGATGGGAATGGAAGGACAAATCAGGGGATTTACCGGAAATTGGAGAAACCAAAAGAAATTAGAGTAAACCCAAGCCAAATCAAGGGAGAAAAGAGGAATTAGTGGCTGTTTCCCTTACCAAAAACCTGAAAAAATCACACCCACACAACAGAGCAGCGGACAGAGAGGAAGGAACAGAGTAGATCTGGGATTTTCTGCATAGGGGAAAGATTTCAAGGTTCTAAATCTTGTTCCTGAACAAGAAAAAAAGGGAAAAAGATCAAGCTTTTTACCGTTCTGAAGAGGGTGGGTGTGTTGGTGGCTTGGCCTTTTGTTCGGCTACAGGGGAGAAGAAAAAGAGTAGAATCGCGCGGCTGAGGAAGAAAGAAAGAAGGAAAAAAAATCAGCCATCCTTAACCTAATTTCTCTCTCTTTTAAGTCCCTCAAATTTGAAAATTTGATGATTAAGCTCAACAATATTATTTCCTCACACTTAGGTCCTTAGCTCACACTTAATTGTTCTAGAAATTTTTGGGGTATTACATTTGTAAGGCATGTCAGATCTATGGATCATTACAAAAGCTCCAGGGTTAGAACTTAGTCATTTGTTAAACCCTAGTTGAGGATGAGTCATATATCTAATTGCTAAAGTCCATGTTTTTGCAAAATGGTGTATGTTCATTATTGTAGTTACCAAATATTTTAGAAAATTGATAGAAGCTAAGCCTTAGAAAAAGGTAGAACAAACATATATTATCACGTTCATCAAAGAGGATATCATCCATAGATTCAGCTTGGCAAAAACAATAACGTTAAATTAGGGGATTTTTTGTTGGATCATGATGGCAATTGCAAAAGGGATGGAGTTTTTACTTACCAAACTCCTCGTTATTCTAAAACTAGTGGTCAAGCCAAAGCTTCCAATAAAATTGTGATTAATTTGATTGGAAAATTTGTTGATGATAATCCAAGGCATTAGCATAAGCTATTGTTAACACATACTGGGCTTATAGAACTTTACAAAGGAATTTTATCAAGATAACTTTATTTTCTTTAACTTTTGAACATGAAGTTGTTATTGGAAATGGAGTTGTCCCCCAGATTGTTGCATATAAAAATAAAATCTATTTAGAAAAAACATGTATGCTATGAACTTAGAAGAAGGTTATTTATTAATTATTTTTTGGTTGGAAAGACATTTTATTCATATGAAATTGCAACAACAGAAGAACATGAAATTACAAAAATAGAAGAAAATGTTTAGTTTGCATTTTTCACTTATGTTCATAACAAAACATGCCACCTTAATTGCAATAGGAATTTTAGGCACTTTAAAAAGGAAAGCCCAACAATTGTTAACAAGGCCATTTAAAGCAATGCAACAATCTTTTCTCAAATTTGCTATGTTCTTATTGTTATTAATCACTTGTTCCTTGGGTAAGTCCAAATTGAAGAATAGATGCTACAATGCAAGTAACAAGGAGCCAGAAATCAAGTGCTTTAAGGGTGCAAACTTCATGATATATTATTTTTGTGTTATGAAATGTTCTTGATTATTGGAATGAAAGTCGGCTAGAATTTTATAGTGTTTTTCAAGGAAGAATTTTGTGTGTGTAAAGATTTTTAGTTTAATGACAACAAAAATCTTGAGCAAATAGCAACAAAAATGTTTAGACATGAAAAAATGGCAACAAATAGCCAAAATCAATTTCCATGACAACAAAATTTTATGGACATATTAAAAATAGTCAACCAACTTTTTTCTATCCAATTTTGTCCAAGTTAGTTATAGCAACAAGTTAACTTTGTTTGTTTCTCAAATTTTGAAATTTAAAAGTAAGTTGAAAAACAATGAGTGGACCAACCCTTTCATTATTACTTAGAAACAAAATTAAATTTTAATTACAAAAATTTATCAAACTTTATAGAATTTCTTGAAAAAATAGCAGTGTGTAGAACAAAATCAATTGTGTTATTTAGTGCAATCTATGGGGTATAATGGAACAATCATAACAATATTTTATGGGGAACCAAGGTATACAGCCACACCAAATAAAAATAGTGAAATCATGATACAAGAGAGAAAAACTTGCATTAAAATAACATCAAAATCCTTTATAGAATTTTATAATCATTTTTCTATATTTTGTGTATAGAAAGTACACCAGTGAAGGTTCAAACAAGGTTTAATATATGAATGAGATTGATTTGGTTTTTTCCCATCCGTGTTTTTATTAAAATGTTATAATTTTGTGATCCTTTTCCAATTATTTTTTTAGCATCCAATTGATAAGTACTAATCTCACACACAAATATAAAAGTATATATATACATACACACACACACATTTATTTAACAGTATTAAATTTTCTATTATTAATGAAATGGTTAATTATTTTAGATTAATATGAAAATTGGCATATATGATTTATATGAATAGAATATTTAATTCAATGGTAATTTTCAAGAATATTAAGTAAAATATGAGGTTTTTCTTATGTCCTCCATGATAACATCTTACAAAACACTTTTCCATAATATATATATATATGTCTCAAATACCATTTTAATTCTTAAAGGTAACAATTAATATATTAAAATGTTTCAAAATTGTATTTAAACACTAAAATTTTAAGGTTTCAATTTTACTCTTTCAATTGGTCTTGTAACCCTTTTAGTTTGCTATAATAAACAAGCTAAAATTGGAGACTTTTTCAATCAAAACCACAAATCTCAAACCCATGTTCTAATTGAGGAAATGAATGAGGAGATTGGATTAAGGGTATTTTTAGGGTCGCAGATGAGGTTCATAGTTCATTAGAAAAGGATACTATTCAATTCGTTAATTTTTCTATGAATTATCATGCTTGACACATACATTTCTTTTTGTCTTCTAGGCCTAGAAATAGAAAGGATTTATAGTCTCTCAAAAGACAAGCTAGATTGAGGCAAACAAAGTCATTGAGATTCCAACGAAAAAGGATGAACATGAATTTCAACTAATAAATTTATTTTTGAGAAACCAAAGGAGAAGATGGTTAGAAAAGGCTTGTAGAGAGGAGTATAGGAAGTTAGTATCAGATGAACTTTGCTTGCTGTAATAAAGGGCCAAGAGCACATGGCTTAAGCAAGGCGACCAGAACCCTACTTTTTTTCATGCCAAGTTGAAAGCTGGAAGGGCAAAAATGGCTGTTAAATCTATATGTAATGAATCAAGGAGCCGATTAACAAAGCCTATGGATGTTCAAGAGGAATTTTTGGTACTTTACCAAAAATTGATTGGTACTTTAGCATAGAATCTTGGACAACCAAATGTGGAGGTTTTGTAAAATGTGCTATGGTATCCTATGAACAAGCAAAGCAAGTAGTTAGTCTTGTTACTAATGTTGAGGTAAAACAAGTAGTTTCTCAATATATTAAGATAAAGCTCCAAGGCTACATGGCTTTTCATCTTTTTTTTTTTTTTTTTAAGACTACTTGAACTATAATTGGAAGAGAAGTGACAATAGTAGTGAAGGATTTCTTTTATTCAACCAAGATATTGAAGTAGATAAATGCAACCAACTTATGTCTCATCCCAAAGGTAACAAATCCAAACTTTATGGGAGACTTGAGACTTATTTCTTGCTATAATGTTGTTTATAAAATTATTGCAAAGGTCTTAGCTAATAGGTTGTAAGAAATGCTTGGTCAGATCATTAACTTTAACCAAAGTGCCTTTGTTAAGGATAGATCTATAATGACAAAAATCCTCATTTATCATGACCTCGTGAGAAATTATCATAGAGATGGAGTTACCAGATGCCTGATAAAATTAGATTTGAGGAAGGCCTATGCTTCATTGGATTGGAATTTTTTGAGGTTTGTTTTAAATGGCTTATTTCCAAGTCAATTTGTCAACTGGACAATGCTATGCGTGTCTGCTACCAGTTTTTCATTGGTCTTTAATGGAGCACCACATGGATAGTTCCAAGGGAAAAGAAGGTTAAGGTAGGGAGATCCTATTTCCCCATACTTTTTTGTTATAGGGATGGAATATCTTTCAAGACTCATGAAGTTTGTGGAGATAGATGCTCGATTTCAATACCATTTGCATTGTAAGGGACTCAAGCTAACCCACCTTATATTTGCCGATGATCTTATGATTTTTTTTTTGCAAAGTATAGGAATACTTGTGCTAAAAGTTGAAGGAAATTGTAAACTCATTTTTTGTGGTGTCAAGCCTAGAGGTTAATAAGGAGACAAGTCATGTTTTTGTGAGCGATGTTTCCACCATGAGAAGGAGAAGGATAATTAATATGCTAGGGTATCAAGAAGGCAAACTCTTGGTTAAATATCTTGGTGTTCCATTGATTCCAACTATGCTTTTTGTGGGGGATTGTCAACCATTAATTCAAAAGCTTAAAAGGAAGTTGGATGCATAGGGAAACCACATGTCGTCTTTTGCAAGGAGACTTCAATTACTCAAAGTAATGTTGTTCCCAATGCAAGTTTTTTAGAGCAGTATGTTTATATTCTAGAGAAAATTATTAAACTATTTGAAGAATTATGTAGGAATTTCCTATGGTTTGGAGGGTGGGATAAATTGGGTTTAGCCCTTATTTCATGGGAGGAGGTATGCCTACGTGGTCAAAAGGAGGTTTAAGGATTAAACAAGTTAAAATTTGGCATATGGTAGTACTGGAAAAACACTTGTGGACCATTTGTAGTGATCATGATTCCTTATGGGCCAAGTGGGCAAAAGAAAAATTGGGCGGGGGTAGTATATGGGCAGCAAACATTCCTTAGGATTGTGCATGGTCATGGAGGAAGATTTTACAGTTAAGGCCTCTCTTAAAATAGAATATAGTGATGAAGGTGGGTGATGGGCACCAAACTTCCTTCTTTTATTATTGTTGGATGGAGATTGGAAGGCTAGTTGAATTGGAGGGACTAGCCAATGAGATTATAGCATGGGGTCTAAATTTGGTTGTGTCATAGTGGGCAACACAATGTGAGTGGAATGTTCCTACGAGCTTCAGAGAAGACATCTAGGGATTGCAGGAAGTATCCAACCTATACAACTCCAAAGATGCCAAGATTGTGCAATTTGGAATAGAGCAAATGGTAAATTAGCTATTTTTTGTATATTAGATTGTTATGAATAATTGAGAGAAAGGAGTAAAGTAGAATGGTGTTCTAATATATTTACTCTACCACGTCAAAGTTTTATGTTATGGTTGTTGGTGAAAAAACAAAAACTTTGCTATATAATAGAGGCAGTCAATTGATAGGAATTGCCCATTTTGTGAGGATAGAGTGGAGAATGACCACCGTTTATTTTTCCATTGTAGGCTGTTAAGACATATTTGGAGTGGAGTTTTACTACACATAGTCTTGAGCCAGTGTGCTAGGCAAAGGAGTTGGGATTGGAGGTGATTACTAAGAAAATGTAAAGGAAAAAGTAATGCAATGAAGCAACTTAAAATTCTCTTTTCAATTGCTGTTTATTTTATATGGAGTGGGAGAAATAGCAAACTATTTTCTAGTATTAGGAAAGAAAGGGCGGAAATGATTCAAGTTGTAATTCATTGTTATAGATTACAATAGTTAGTACAGTGAGAGGAAGATTGTTTTTTCCTGGGTATGCCGGGGTGTAATTTGTACATGCCCTTTTGAGGGGGATTTTGGAGGAATATAAACTTACCATATTCCTAAAAAGAAAGATGGCTAGATACATAATAGAATTATACATTCATGCACACATGAACAAAATGCTAATAAATCGAATTTTAGTAGATAATAGTGCATTGTCAATGTGATGCTAACCTGTATTGTGTACTTGCTGGTATATCTTTGTGTGATTTAATGGAAATTGATATGACAATTAGTGATTTCAATGGTAAGGTAAATTGCTCAAGAGGAATTATATCTACATAACTCACCACAAGAAGCATAACCCTCATGTACACATTCTTTGTGGTTGACAAAATGACCACTTATAATGCATTACTTTGGAGAGATTGGATACATTACTACTGGTGTCTCATCTGTATCACATTAGAAGTTGATATTTTGGAATGGTGCTATAATTGAAGTTTTGACAACATATGACAAACCTTTCGTGGCCACCATAAATGCGGTAGAGGCCTACAATTGTGATGAAGGTATTAGGAATCATTTTGGAATTATTGTCAGCACCAAGCCGGCCAATATTATACAAAGAGTGAAAGTGGTTTGTAGTAAACTCCTTTGGCCTTTAGCAATTATTCATATTTGGCCAAGTGGAGCACCTAAAATTGAAGAGATCTCATAAAGAGTGATCTTTTCTACCTATTTCGTAGAGAACTATGCTAGTGTTGGTAAATTAGAGCTGGTATGAGAAGGTGAGACACTCAAAAATTTATGGGCAAATGGAGTAGAATTAGTGAGAAACCAAGCTTCAAACAACCCTAGATAGTAGCAAAAAAAGTTGAGCAACAAGATGGGATTTTTTGCTATATGAAAGAGTCCCAAAATGTCTAGAAAAACACCTTGAACAACAAGGATCATCTAGGCAAAAACAACAACAAAATAGTGTAGAATACAAGCCAAATTGGGTAGAAATGGATAGTATTTAAGCAGAAATGTAATAGCTGAATGTAATTGAAAATATGGAGAGTTTTGTGCATGATTTATATGCAGAAAAATCATGGGAACAGGTGTTGTTTTTACAATATAAAACTGAGCAACAATACATGTTTTTAAACAACAGATATGTGTAATTTTTCAAGAGCAAAACAAGTTAGAATTGAGGCAACAAATATAGATAACAAGAGCAGAAATTAGCAAATTCCTTTAGGATAGAACAACAAAGGTTTTTTGGGCAATCAACAGTAGAAAAAGCTCATAATGGTGGTTCAAAAATAGTGAAATAAGAGTGTAGTTAATAGCAGATTTATGGGCAAAGGAGAGTAAAAGAAGATTAGCCAAAAACTAAGCTAAAATAGACAATATTTCAATTGCAAAGAAATTGAGACAGGGTAGTATTTTGGTGCTAGATGATGGCCAAAATCAAAGAGGAAAATTATGGAAACAAACCTCAAAATTGAAAACCCGAAAGGATTAAAGTTAACCTAATTCAAATCAAGATAAAAAGATGAGCATGTGTTGATTTCTTATCAGAAAATCACAAAAGGAGCACCCATTGAGCATTCAAATCACAAACAGGGAAAGAAGAACAAAAAGCAACAATCTTGATGAGAAGAAGCAGCATCAAAGAAAGGGAAGCAGCATCAGAGAAAGGCTAGTAGGTTGACGGCTTCCTCATTTATAATTGGAATAAAAGAAAAGAGGAAAACCCCAAAAGAGATGAGAAAACTTGAAAAGAGAATTACTCTTCCTTTTGTTTATACTCCGTCCCTCACTTTTTTTTTACTGTTAACATCCCTAAGATTGAAGAGTTAGACAACTTGGTCCCCCATTAAAATTCCTTTTCATATTAGTCATCTCACACTTAAATTAAATAAATAAATTATTCAATATAAGTGCTCAAAATTTGGGGTATTACAACGGATTTGTTTGGTTTTTTAAAATTTGAACTTGGCCACACCAAAAATTGAGTATCCCTTGCCCATTGTAAATCTATTGTGGATAGAACGGCATGACATAAAATTTTATTATTTATGGATGGCATAGCGGGTACAATCAGATCTTCATAGTTGAAGTAGACATATCAAACATTGCCTTTCGTTTCCCGAGAACCATTACTACTCATGAATCAATGGTAATGTCATTTGGTCTAAAGAATGCTAGAGCAATGTACTAAACAATTGTGAATGCCATTTTTCATGATGTGATTAGAGAGTTTCATAGGATGTGGGCATATTAAAAATAGACGCACCTCAAGTGTGGCATGATGGTTTTGGATTGTTTAGTAGACTCAACATAGACAGATTGGTGCTATCCAATGTTTAAATATCTCAAGAAGTCGAATTTGAAGTCTCAAGAATGACAACAATGCAAGCCTTAAATTATGTTCTATTAAAGGATGAGCTCTACGAATGGTGAGGCATTATGAACTCCCTTGGCATTGCCTAGGTCCAACTTAGTATGCCAGGTCACATTAGAGGTGCATAATGCAATATGGCTATACAGCAAGCCAAAATCAAGATGTGCTGACTTATTCGTAGATATGGTTTCTTTTGTCCATCAATTTTAAGTAATTGTATTAGTTATGATAAGATTTGTGAGGCCTATCAGATCTCTAGGTCATTACAAAAAATTTCAATGTTAGAACTTACTTGTTTGTTTAACCCTAGCCATTTTGAGTGTCACGCCCCAAAACCGAGAGCAGAATAAAGGCCGTACACTTGTGCGAGAATCCCACAAATGCACAAGGCTCAAAACTTGTTTAATTCACATCTGACAATCCAATAACTTAAATCAAATATCTCAAAATAAATCTATGTCCAAAATGAGTTAAGTTCAAAATAATTCATCTAGTGGCCAAATTCCAAAACGAACTAAATCCAAAATGCAAAAGGCTAGCCTTCTAACTCGTCACTCCCCTTGGTTTCCCACATCTTGAGTCTCAGTACCTGAAATGGTGGATGAGGAAAAACTCTGTGAGACAACTCAGTAAGTAAAAATATGGATAACCCTTAATTAAAATTTATAGCATGCCAACAAGTGTAATCAAGTATTAAGAAAAATGGGTACAAGTATAGGAATGAAATAGACATCTCCTCTGTGATACCCCAAAATTTTCTAGAATAAATAAGTGTGAGTTAGGGACTAACTTGTGAGGAAATATTATTAGTGAACCTAATGGCAATTTGTGTTAAATTCAAGGGGCTTAAAAAGGGAAAGAAATTGGATAAGGATAAGCTATTTTTCCTTCTTTCTTCCCCAGCCATTTCACGTTTCTGCTTTTCTTTTCTTCCCCCTGCACCGAGCAAGGAAGCCCAGCCACCGACAGCCCTCCCTTGAAGAAAAATCAATAAGACTTGGTGATTTCTCCTTTCTTTTCTTGCTCAATAACAAGTTTTAGGACTTAGAACTCTCTCTCTCAACCCAAAAATTCCAAATCTGCTCTGCTTTTCCTCCCCTGTCCACGAGCTGCAGCTTGTGGGCGCAAAATTATGGGCTTTTTCCAGTAAGCCACAGCCATGAACTCCATCTTTTCAACTTGATTTAGCTTGGGTTCATTTTAAATCTGTTGTTTCTTCAAATTTTGGTAGCCCCGTGAGCTTCCCCTCCAACTTCCGCCGACTGCCAAGCTCACCAGACCTAGTTTGCTGGCCGAAAATTCGGGTAGGTAGCAGCTCTCCCAGTCTAGATTTTTAATCCATTAATTGCTATCATGTATTGTTGCAATTTTCTGTGTATTGTGGAAGGAACCCGTTAGTTGCTAGCCCCCTTGCTGTCCGAAAATTTCTACCGAAACAAGGGAAGAATTGGCAGCATTTTAAATGTGTTTTTGTGCTTGATTTATGTAGGAATTTTGTTAATTAGGCTGCTGTGATTTTGGATAAAAATCTTGTGACTTGTTGTGTTGCCAAAGCCCCTGTTTTTGCCAAGCCGTGCTCTTCCCTTTTTGCCAAGGGATTGGGAAACCAAATTGGTGAAATTTGGCTTTAAAACCTCTTGTTTAAGAGATTTTTGGATATTATGATTTTATTTAAAAATATTTGGACTTTGGGTAGATATACGGTTTTGAATAAAAGTGAGTTATATCATGGTTGAATTTCGTGTGAAGCTCATTGGTTAGTAAATTTGTGAGGTTCTGCTAATAATTCTAGTAAAGTCTAAATGTATTTATTTGGAATATTAGGTGCTGTTATGGCTTAAAGCACTGAGATTGAGTCCGCAGTTTATGCGAGCGAATTTCTATGTTATGTGATTGAGATAAGTAAATTATGGTAACGCCCTTCAACTTTAAAAGTATATGTTAACTTGTTTTTGAAGTAGTGGCAGGACTAAACCCGTTCTATATAAAAATGAGCATGATTGATTTGAAATAAAATTATTATTCTTTTTATTGATTTGAGCATGCCTACTTGGAATTTACTTAACTGCCCTGATAAACTGAGAATTTTGTAAATTCTAATTTTTTTCTGTTAAATCCATATCCACATGGAAATTTTCCAATTTATTTCTGAAATTTGAGATTGATTGTGAATTACAAATTTTAGTGTAAATCTTGCCTGTTTTGTCTCCGATATGATCATGTTATTCGTGTGCCCGCTAGTGGGACATGTCGACATGTTATTGATAGAACTGGTTCGTTTTTGTTATCCTGCTAGTGGGATTATACACTAGTACATCGTGTCCCTGCCAGTGGGAGATTTATAACACTGGCCATGACCTATAGAAGAGACGTCTATTTCGTTTCCGACTCGTACTTGTTTTTCTTGATTATACTGGTTGGCATGCTATAAGTTTAATTAAGGGCTATCCATATTTACTTACTGAGTTATCTCATAGTTTTTCCTTGTCCACCATTTCAGGAAGCGAATTCAAGGATAGGGAAAAACGAGGGGAGTGACGAGTTAGAAGGCTAGCCATCTTGTAAATTGAACATAGATTTTAAATATAGATCATGATCTTGTAAGCTAGACTTTAATTGGAGATTTTATAAATCCATTTAATGAATTGTTAGTTTACAAGAGATTTGACCTTAAGATTTTGAGCTTAAGTCATGTTGGACATAGAATTATTTTGAAAATCTGATTTAAATTATTGGATTGTCAGATGTGAATTGGATAAGTTCCGACCCTTATGCATTTGTGGGATCCTCTTACAAGTATACGGCATTTGTTACGCCTCGGATTTGGGTTTTGGGTGTGACATCCTCTATAAGTCATGGCCAACATTTATAAACCTCCCACTGGCGGGCACAAGATTTGCTAGTGTATAATCCCACTAGCAGGACAACAAGTATAACAAGAATGAATAGGTTCCATAAGTAACATGTCAACATGTGCTAGCATTTATAAACCTCCCACTAGCGAGCACAAGTATTACATGACCACATTGGAGATTAAAACATGCTAGAAAGTACATTTCAACTAAATTCAGGGAAACATGTATAACAGGGAGCAAGTAAAATATGTTCAAAACTTTTATAAATAGGCTTGCTTAACCAATTGAAATCCAACTTGATAAAATAGGATTTAAGCATGGTAGTTAAGCCAAAACAGACTTTTAATCCTGCCACCATCTCAAAATCAATACAAGTCATGGTTCAAACTTACATTTTAAAATCAAGGACGAATCATAAATTTAGTTACCTCTCAATGTCACTATACCATAAGCTAGAATTCAAGTCTCAAGGAAGCGAAGGTGTCTGAGATCATAACATGCCTCATTCACCTAGATTGATCTTTAATTCTAACACCAAGTTCTAACCCAAGGGAACAATTTCTCCCTAACTTCTCTTGCCATTTCCACCCACAAAACCTTACTAGCATATGTATATTAATTCACATGCATAGCCATATTAAAAAAAGTTCCAAATATGACAGCAGACATTCCAAAATATTTTCGACAAGGAGCAGCAAAATTTTGGTAAAAAGGGTAGGAAATTCTGGGGAAGACAGTGCAGAAAACAACAAAGAAAATGAAGAAAAATGTAGAATTTTTTGGGTTAAACAATGTAGGAAAAACAAGGGAAAGTGCAAGAAAATGCATAATTTTCTGGGTTAAAACAATGCAGAAAACAACAAATGCAAGTGCAGGAAAATGCAGAATTTTCAAGGTTAAAACAATGCAGAAAACAACAAAGGGAAGTGCAGGAAAATGAAAATTTTTTGGGGTTAAAACAGTGCAGAAAACAACAAAATTTATGGCAAAAGAGCAGTAGAAAATGAACCAAAACTAAGCCAAGACATACAACATTTCAGCAGCAACGCAAGGCAGTATTCTAGTGCTAAAGCAGCACCTCAAACAGATTCTTTAATGTAACTAACAGAGCAGAAATTCACAAACCAAAAATGGGGCAAAAGTAGTCAAAATAGCAACTAAAATCTGGAAAAAAAAAAAACCATGATGCAATATGGTAGTAGGAATGTGAGAGTAAAGCAGAAAACACAATAACTTTTTAGGAAAGTTTGGGTAAATTTTCGAAGTGGACATTCCACTAGAATTTTCACCCAGAAATTGACCAATTTGGTCTGAATGGCTAAAAGATAAATGTAGCCCTATGTGTTAGCGTTCTATAGGATCAAGAATTACCTTAAACCAACATCTACAAAGGAAGTTATGGTTGAAATAGTGACAATAGGTTGGGCTGCCAGCTCAGTCCACTTGCGGGATCCAAAATTGCAGCAAAGTTTTCACCTTGAAAGCAGTTGAATTGGGTTAAATGTCTAACATAAAAATTGTAGGGTTATATCTTAGCTTTCCATAGAATTAAAAATGAACTCAAAACAATATTTACAGAAAGAGTTATGGGTAAATTACTATAGAGGATCATGCAGTCTTAATTTCTGGCAAGTAAAGGAAATCACTTTCGGTTAGTATTTATCATTGACAAAAATCAAAGGGGAAAACTACAGAAAATTTCTAAAGTTTGAAAACCCTAAAGGATTAAAGTTAACCTACTTCAAATCATAAAGGAAAAGATGAGTAATATGGTTGATTTCTTACCAAAAAGTGCCGAAAATGGTGATGGACAACAACCCAAAATAGATCAGCAGATGGGAGGGTGCAACAACCCAGATCTAAAATATTGTTCATGATTTTTGAGAATTATAAGCCTATTAATCTCTATATGTTGCTAGGAGAAGGAGGAAAAATGCTAAATCTCGCCTTATTCTTAGCAAAAAGAGGCTGGGTGCAAGCTAGGGAACATGAAGGCAAAATTTTCTAGTGAAGAGCTAGGGAAACACGATAAGGGCAAGGAGAAAGGAAAGCCCGACCTTAGCTCCTTTTTTTTTGTTTTTTTTTTTATCATCACCTTAGTTTTTTTTTAATCACCAGATTTTTCTTTTCTAACCCTCTTTAGTTTGAAAATTTCAGTTATTTGGCCCCACAATAATAATTTTTCCTGTACAAATCCCTATCTTAAATTTTAAGATTTTAAAAAATTTTGGGAGATTACATTGAGGATGGGCCATACATCTTACTGATGAAGTTTATGTTGTTTTTACAAAACTCTCAAGAAAGTAGAACAAATAGATATTATCGCATTCTTCAAAGAGGATTTCATCCATAGATTTGGTTTGGAAAAAACAATGACAATAGATCAGGGGATTTTTCATCAAAACATAAGTGAAGGCATTCATAAAGAAGATGGAGTCTTTGCTTATTTAACCCCTCATGATGCTAAAACCAGGGGTCAAGCTAAAGCTTTCAATAAAATTTGATTAATTTGCTTTGAAAAATTGTTGACGATAATCCAAGGTGTTGGCATGGCTATTGTCTGGCACACTTTGGGCTTACAGAACTTTAGTAAGGGATTTTATCAAGATAACTCTAGTTTCTCTAACTTTTGAATATGAAGCTATTATGGAAATGGAGTTATCCCCCAGATCATTACGTATAATACTAAAATTTATTTTAAAAAAAACACATTTGCTATTAATTTAGAAGAAGGGCATTTATTAATTAGTTTTTGGTTGGAAAGGCATTTTATTGATGTGAAATTACAACAGGAAAACATGAAATTACAACAATAGAAGAAAATGTTTAGTTTCCATTTTTCACTTATAGAACATGCCACCTTTATTACAATCAGGATTTCGGGCACTTCAAAATGAAAGCCCAACAATTGTCAGCAAGGCCATTTAAAGCAACACAATAATCTGTTTCCAAATCTGCTACGTTCTTACTGTTATTCATTATGTCCTTTATATCTTTTAGGTAAAATGGGGTTGACATTGCAAACTTTAGACATTTAAAAATGATGTCATCATTCATCTCAGGTGAAGTCTTTCTCGTTTCTTGGGCAAGTCCCAATTGAAGAATAGATACTACAATGCATGCCATAAGGAGGCAAAAACCAAGTGCTTTTAAGGATGCAAATTCCATGATAAACTATTTGTGTTATGAAATGTTCTTGATTGTTATAATGAAAGTTTGATGGAATTTTATAGTATTTTTCAAGGAAGTATTTTGTGTGCGTAAAGATTTTTGGTTTAATGCCAACAAAAATCCTTAGACATATGACAAAATGGCAAAAAATATCCAAAATTAATTTCCATCGCAACAAAATTCCTTTGACATAATAAAAATAGGTAACCAACTTTATTCCATCCAATGTTGTCCAAGTCAGTTATAGCAACAAGTTAACTTTGTTTGTTTTCAAATTTTGACACTAAAAAATAAGTTGAAAAACAATGAGTGGGCCAACCTTTAACTTTTTACTTAATAAAAAAAATTAAATTTTAATTACAAAAATTTATCAAACTTCGAAGAATTTATTGAAAATGCGATAATGCATAGAACAAATTCAATTGTGTTATTCTATGTAATCTATGGGGTATAGTGGAACAATCCCAACATCATTTTATGATGGACCAGGATATGCAACCACAACATATCAGGCTAGTGAAATAATGATACAAGAAGGAAACTTGAATTGAAGTAATAGCAAAATCCTTTAGAGAATGTTATAATCATTTTTCTATATTTTGTGCATAGAGAGTACACTATTGAGGGTTCAAACATGGTTTAATATATGAAAGAGACTATTTTGGTCCTTTTTCCATCATGCTTTATTAAAATGTTGCAATTTTGGGATCCTTTCCCAATTAATATTTTAGATATCCAATTAAAAAGTACCATTCACACGCACAAATATAAAAGTATGATATATGTATAGATGAGAAAAGGGAAAATTAGGACGTCCTGACATTTTTGTCTAATAATAGTCACATGATGGATTTGATAAAGTTAGGACCTACACTGCACTTCACACATTTAATAGTTGTGATTAGACATTCTAACGTTTTTAATGCTAGGACGTCTTGATTTTCCCTTTTCTCACGTACACACATTTATTTAACAGTATTAAATCTTCTATTATTAAAGAAATGCTTAATTATTTTAGATTAATATGAAAATTGAAGTAAATCATTTACATGAACAAAACATTTAATTCGATCATAGTTTTTAAAAATATTAAGTAAAATATGCGGTTTTTTATTATGTCCTTCAAGATGACATTGTATAAAACATTTTTCCATAATATATATATTTTGAATGCTATTTTAAGTCTTAAATATAACAATTAACATCTCAAAACATTTCAAACTTGTATTCAAACACTAAGATTTTATGGTTTCAGTTTTATTGTTTTGATTGATCCTATAACCCTTTTAGTTTGCTATAATAAACAAGCTAAAATGCAAGACTTTTTAAATCAAAACCACAAATCTCAAGCTCATTTTCGAATTAAGGACACCAATGAAAAGACTAGATTAAGGGTGACTTTTGGAGTAATAGACAAGGTTGATAGTTCATCAAAGAAGGATGCTATTCAATTTTTTAAGTTGTCTATGAATTTGTCATGCTTGACACTTAACTTTTTATTGGTCTTCTATGTGAAGTAATCAATAGAATCAACAGTCTATTAGTAGACAAACTAGACTGAAGAGGACAAAGTCATTGAGATTCCAACCAAGGAGGATGGAGATGAAATTTCAACTAATAAAATTATTTTTTAGAAACCAAAGGAAAAGATGGCCAAATATATAATGGCATTGTACATTCATACACACATTAACAACATGCTAATAAATCAAATTTTAGTGGATAATAGTGTTGTTGTCAATGTGATGCCAACTTGCATGGTAAACTTCTTGGTATATCGTTCTATGATTTAATAGAAACTGATATAACAATTAGTGATTTATGCGGTGGGGTAAATTGCTCATGAGTTATGCTAAAACCAATGCTCAAGCCAAAGCTTATAATAAAATTGTGATTAATTTGCTTGGAAAAATTGTTGATGATAATCCAAGGCATTGACATGAGTTATTGTTTGACAGACTTTGGGTTTATAGAACTTTACAAAGAAATATTATCTTGATGATTCCATTTTCTTCAACTTTTGGACATGAAGCTATTATGGAGATGGAGTTGTCCCTTAAATCATTGTGTATAACAATAAAATCTATTTAAAACGAAAAATACATTTACTATGAATTTAAAAGAATGGCATTTATTAATTATTTTTTGGTAGGAAAGGCATTTTCTTCATGTGAAATTACAATAACATGAGAACATGAAATTACAACAACAAAAGAAAATTTTGAGTTTGCATTTTTCTACTTATGCTCTTATAATAGAACATGTGTCATGCCCCAAACCCCGGAGCAAGACAGACGCCGTGCACTCGTGAGCGAGGCCCACAAATGCACAAGGCTCGAAACCTACTAAGTTCTTACTTAGCAATTCATGCAATTCAGATCTAAACCTTTTTATTTACCAAATATTTACCAGTCAAGATGTACAAATTTATCACTTCCTAAATACGATCATGACTAAAACTAAGGAAGTTCTGTACACAAATTTCTAAGTCAAGCATGGTGACTAACGGCCTAGCTACAAAAATCTAAGTCCAAAAGTACCTAGCTGTCTAGCTCGTCACTCTCCCGGGCTCCCCATGCGTCGGGTCTCACTACCTAAAATGGTGGACAAGGAAAAACTATGAGATAAAATGTCTCAGTAAGTAAAATATGAAGTGCCCTTATTAAACTTATAGCATGCCAACAAGTGCAATCACGAAAAACAAGTACAATACGAGAACGAAATAGACGTCTCCTCTATAGGTCATGACCAGTGTATTAAACTTCCCATTGGCAGGCTACACTATTTGCTGGTATATAACCCCCACTAGCAGGGTCACTCAAACGAACCGGTTCTATCAATAACATGTCGACATGTGCTAGCGTTTAACCCCTACTAGCAGAGTTATCAATAACATAACCGCATCGGAGACAAAGCAGGCAAAAGTTAACAGAAAAATCATAATTCACCAATCACTTAAATCATCAGGACAATCAAACAAATCTCAAGTAGGCATGCTCAATTAATGAAAAGCATAAAAATTTCACTTCAAATCAGTTATGCTCGTGTAACACGGGTTTAGTCCCGCCACCACTTCAAAAACAAATCAAAACATGCTTTTAAAAACTGTACGGGCATTACCATAAATTTACTTACCTTAATTGCACAGGACAGAAGGCTTAATCCAAGTGTTAGGATCACAAGGCAATCAAGGACCTAATCACAATATTTCTGAATTAATATCTATAAAGAAGTTTTATTTCTTTATTTATTTTCATTTTTATTTTTCTATCCGAAAATTGAGCATTACCGGGATTGGGTATTTATATATATATATATACAATTACATAATTACACATACAATTTTGGTTAAATCCCCATTCTAATCCCTAAACTATTGTACAAACCCCCGATTTGGTCCCCACTGTTTATAATTTGGCCTAAGTTGGTCCTTGAATTATTGTACGGACCCCCAATTTGATCCTTACTGTTTACAATTTCGTCCCAATTTGGTCCTGAGCTATTATTTAACAGAAAGACCAAGTTGAGGTTAAATTGGTAAACAGTAAGACCAAATTGAGCATCCATACAATAGTTTAGGATTAACTTGGGAGTACATACAATAGTTTAAGGACCAACTTAGGTCGTACAATAGTTCAAAGACCAAAATAGGGTTTAACCTTAAATTTTTCAAACTCATGGACAAAAATTTGGGAGGACCGGCCTGGACAAAAAAATGGCCAATTCACAGAATTTTCCTCTTTTCTTTCGGATAACACCACCACAACAGCCACACCCACTAATTTCCTACATAAACCATCAACTAAACCCATTTTCAAGTTGCCAAAATTCATCCCCCACCTTCGGCAAATTGTTTTTGGATAACACAAGCACCCATACAACCAATTAAACTCACAAGGCAGCAATTAAATGGTTAGAATTCAGCTTTAAAAGCTGTCTCATACCAGCAAATTCTGGCAACGAAAACCGAGCTTGGCAGGTTCACGGCTGGCGAAAATTGGGAGAAAAGCTAACACAAAATTGGAAAGAATAAGAACAATTAGAGTGAACCCAAACCAAATCAAGTGAAAAGTGATGAATTCATGGCTGATTCATACCAAAAAAAACCGAAATCTCACACCCACACCAGTTGAAACCGGCGGCAGGGGAGGAAGACGCAGGGCAGATCTGGAATTTCTGGGTTGAGGGAGAGAGTTCTAGGCTTGAGACTTGGTTCTTGAGCAAGAAAGCAGGGAAATTTCAAGAGGCCTTCACCGGGTTTTTCAAGGGGAGAAAGTCTGTGGCTTGGGGGCTTTTCGGGAGGAAGGATCGGGAAGAAGACACAGCAGACCCGCATGAAAATGAGGAAGAAAAAAAATATATATCTAAGCTTGATCCTTATCCAAATTGGTTTTCTTATTAGCCCCTTGACTTTTGAAAATTTGATGATTAAGTTTAAAAACATTATTTTCTCACAATTAGGTCCCTAGCTCACACTTAATTGTTCTTGAAAATTTTGGGGTATTACAACATGCCACCTTGTTTGCAATTGGAATTTCAAGCACTTGAAAAAGGAAAGGCCAATGATTGTCAGCAAGGCCATTTAAAGCCACACAACAATCTTTTCCCAAATCTACTACATTCATACGGTTATTAATTACATCCTTTATATCTTTTAGGTAAAATGGGGTAGACACTACAAACTTTAGACATATAAAAAAGTTGTCATCATTCATCTTAGGCGAAGTCTTTCTTGTTTCTTAGGTGAGTCCCAACTGAAGAATAATCACTACAATGCATGCCACAATGAGCTAGAAACCAAGTGCTTTTAAGTCTGCAAACTACATGACAATTGATAAAATGTTTGTGTTATGAAATGCTCTTGATTGTTAGAATGAACATTTGATAGAATTTTATAGTGTTTTTCAAGTAAGAATTTTATGTGTGCAAAGATTTTTGGTTTAATGGCACTAAAAATCTTAAGAAAATAGCAAGAAAAATCTTTGGACATATGGAAAAATGGCAACAAATATCCAAAATTGATTTCCATAGCAACAAAATTCCTTGGACATAATAAAAATAGGCAACCAACTTTATTCCATCCAATTTTGTCCAAGTCAATTATAGCAACAAGTTAACTTTGTTTTTCAACTTTTGACACTAAAAGTAGAAAAAGAATGAGTGGACCAACCTTTTGATTATTACTTGGTAAAAAAATTAAATTTTAATTACAAAAATTTATCAAACTCTTAAAAAGGCACGTAAAACAAAATCAATTGTGTTATTTTAGATAATCTATGAAGTATAGTGGAGCAATCACAACAACATTTTACGAGGAATTAGGGTATACAATTACACCAAATGAAGCTAGTTAAATCATGATATGAGAGAGAAAACTTGCATTGAAATAATATCAAAATTCTTTATAGAATCTTATAATCATTTTTCTATATTTTTGTACAAAGAGTATACCAATGTAGATTCAAATACAATTTAATATATGAATGAGACTATTTTGGCTTTCCCATCGTGTTTTTATTAAAATGTTGCAATCTTGGGATCCTTTTCTAATTAATTTTTTAAATATCCAATTTATAAGCACTAATCACACAACCAAATATAAAAGTATATATATATGTACGCACACATTTATTTAATAGTATTAATTTTTCTATTATCAATGAAATGGTTAATTATTTTAGATTAATCTGAAAATTGAAATATATAATTTACATGGACAAAACATTTAATCCAATGGTAGTTTTTTAAAAAAGTTAGGTAAAATATGCAGTGCTTTTACTATGTCATTTAGGATAATATCCTATAAAAAACTTTTCCATAATATATATTTTAATTGTTATTTTAATTCTTAAACGTAACAATTAACTTATCAAAATTTTTTAAGATTGTATTTAAACTCTAAGATTTTTTGGTTTCAATTTTGTTCTTTTGATTGGTCCTATAACCCCTTTAGTTTGCTATAATAAACAAGCTAAAATCCAAGACTTTTTCAATCAAAACCACAAATCTAAAACCCATGTTCTAATTGAAGAAACCAATGAGAGGATTAGATTAAGGTTGACTTTGGGGGGTAACAGATGAGGTTTCAATTTTTTAAGTTTTCTGTGAATTTGTCATGCTTGACATTTACCTTTCTTTTGCTCTTCTAGGCAAAATAATTGATAGGATCTATGGTCTATCAATAGAGAAGCTAGATTGAGGAAGACAAAGTGATTAAGATTTCAACCAAGGAGGATGGAGACAAAATTTCAATTAATAAGATTATTTTTTGAAAACCAAAGGAGAAGATGGCCAAATACAAAATGACATTGTACATTCATGCACACACTAACGATATAATGATAAATCAAAACTCAGTGGACAACATTGCTGTTGTTAATGTAATGCCAACTTGCATGTTATACTTGTTATATCTTTGTGTGATTTAATGGAAAGAGATATGACAATTAGTGATTTTTGTGGTGGGGGAAATTGTTCAAGAGGAATTCTCTTAGTAGAACTCACTACAAGAAGTGTAACTCTTATGTGTACATTCCCTATGGTTGACAAAATTACCACTTATAATGTATTACTTCCGAGAGATTGGATGCATTACAGCCGGTGTCTCGTTTGTAGTACCCCAGGAGTTGATATTTTTTAGAATGGTGATATAACTAAAGTTTTAATGATAGATGACAAATCTTTCGTGGCCACCACAAATACGATAAAGGCCTGCTGTTATGATAAGGGTATTGGGAATCATTTTGGAATTGTTGTTTGCACCAGGCCAACCAATACTAAACATAGAGTGAAAGAGGTTTGTAACAAACTCCTTTGGCCTTTAGCACTTATTCCTATTAGGCCAAACGGAGTACCTAAAATTGAAGAGATCTTACGAAGAATGATCTTATCTACCTATTTTGTGGAGAACTAACCTAGTGCTTGTAGATTTGAGGTGGTATGCAAAGTTGAGGATGAAGATATGTGAGTTTAGATAATTTTGGAAGTGTTAGATCCAATGTTTTTAAAATCAGATCGGATCAACTGGTCTAACTAGTTCGATCATCACCCAGTTACTGAAATTGGCTGGGTGGACACCTAAACCCATTTTGACGATCCAACCGTCCAAACCCGAAAACCCGGTTGACCCATCCAGCCCAATAGACCTAGCAAACTCACCGGGCGAATTCTCCATGCTAGACGCTGCAACTTCTTTTTTTTTTTTTCTTCTTCCACTATTTGGTTCAATTCTCAAAGCTTACATTTGCCGTCTCCAAGATTCGAACATGTAACTTCAATTTTTTTGTAACTTTTGCCACTAGAGCATCACCTTCAGAGTTGAAATCTTCGGCTTTAAAATTTTATTTAAGGAAAATATCATTGAAGGAATCAAATTTTCTCTTGTAAAATATCAAGTTTTTAAGAGAAACATGGTTCACTTTTATATTAAAATTAATATAAATTTTGTTTAATTTATATTTAAAGTATAATAAATGTAATTTTTTATAATAAATTATAAAAGAATTATAAAAATTAATATTTATTTTAACATTATTAATATTAACATATAAATAATTTTAATTGGTTAATTAATTAATTTAAAATCAATTTTTATAATTTTTTATATAGAT